GGGGGGGGGGGGGGGGGGAGCTGCCAGAGGCAGCCTCTCAGCTGCTCTCCTCCCGCAGGACTGCACCTACGGCACCGAGATCATCTCCAAGTGGAAGAGCCTCCTGGAGAACGACCAGCTCCTGTCTCACGGCGGCCAGGACCTCTCAGCAGACGCCTTTCACAGGTCAGCCGGCGGTGGACGCGCCAGGATGCTACCTGCTGGGGGGGCGGGGGAGGGCGCCAGGCCTTCTGCCCCACGCTGGCACTGCTGGGGATTGCGGTCCTCGTTCATTACTTCACCTGACACTTGTCAAGTGTCTACCGAGGGTCAGGCTGACCCTGGGAGTAAAGCAGCCAGCCTTACAGTTCCTATGGCAACTGGAAAAGGCAGTGAACACATGAACCCAGTGGCAGAGGATAAGGAAGGTGTATGCCTCTGGGGTAGGTTTGAGGCAGAGGCCCAGGGGGACATTTAATCTGTAACCAAAGAGAGAGGTGTCTGCTGTGCAGAGCTCTGGGTGGAAAAGCACATGACATCTTGCGAGGGGCTGTGTGTGGGGCCATGAGCCCGTGTGACCCTGCAGCAACCCTGCCAGTAGGTGCTGCCAATAACAAGGTCCCGAGGCTGGGCGGGCAGCCCGGAAAGAGGCGGCAGGTGCAGGTGTGGCCAGCGTGGGGCCCGGCCGGGTGGTTCTCTGCCCAGTGTCCATGCCGCTGCCCTTTCTTACTCTAGAGAAGCGGCTGTGGTGGACCTTGCACACCGTGAACCAGACGGTGCCATTAGCAACCTGCCCTCTGTCTCCCTCACAGGCTGATATGGGAAGTCTGGATGCCTTTTGTTCGAAATATCGTCACCCAGTGGCAGCCCCGGAACTGTGAGCCCATGGTGGACTTCCTGGATAGCTGGGTGCACATCATCCCCGTGTGGGTGCTGGACAACATCCTGGACCAGCTCGTCTTCCCCAAGCTGCAGAAGGAGGTAAGCCCGGAGCCCAGGAACGCCCTCGTGGGGAGCCAGTGCTGCTAGAGCGCCTGTCAGCACAGCTGCCCCGGTAACTCCAGCAGTTGTAGCAGCACGTGTCTCCCCACAGCCCCATTAACAGGGAATTAACTTCGTTTCTTAAAGTGAAAGCTGCCATTTCTGAGCTGTAATACAATTGCTTGGGAATATTTTTATTTGGCTGCCTTAGTACCAAATGTGTCCACACACACACACACACACACACACAAAGGGCTGGACCTGGCGTCCTTGCCATGAACCCCCAGGGCATCGTTTGATCCCCCACAGGCTGCGTGAACGTCGCTGTTTCCCCCACTCCCTGCAGGTGGAGAACTGGAACCCACTCACGGACACCGTGCCCATCCACTCCTGGATCCACCCGTGGCTGCCCCTCATGCAGGCGCGCCTGGAGCCGCTGTACTCCCCCATCCGCAGCAAGCTGTCCAGCGCCCTGCAGAAGTGGCACCCCAGCGACTCCTCTGCCAAGCTCATCCTCCAGCCCTGGAAAGACGTCTTCACCCCAGGCTCCTGGGAGGCCTTCATGGTCAAGAACATCGTGCCCAAGTTGGGTAAGGACGTGGGGAAGCATCCAGGCCAGCAGCTTTGGCCTTGGTTTCTCTGGGCCAGTTTAGTGGTTGTGCTTCTCAGAACAAGGCCTTGGAGCCGCATTAGCACGTGGACTTCTCACCGTCACAGAGGTGCTGTTCTGTGCACTGAGGCTGAATATAAATGAGCCCTTAGGCTGTGGTGACCATGTCAGACTGGTCTAGGCTTCTGGCGACAGGATAGCCGTCGGCGTCCTGGAATTGTCATGGGATTTGATTCTGGGCTAGAGAAGAAAATGACCTTTAAAGGCCAACCACACACCAGCCCCTCAGGCGAAGCTTCTCTCAGAACCTGGCTTTCCTTCCCTTGCAGGCATGTGCCTCGGGGAGCTGGTCATCAACCCCCACCAGCAGCACATGGACGCCTTCTACTGGGTCATCGACTGGGAGGGGATGATCTCCGTCTCCAGCCTTGTGGGGCTCCTGGAAAAGCACTTCTTCCCCAAGTGGCTTCAGGTGCCTTGTTTTGCTTTGCTGGGGGCAGGGGAAGGCTCGCTTAGTTCTTGGGTGGCTGTTGGATGGCAGTGCTGTGACTGCGTAACAAAAATGAGCTACACGGCCGGACAGGAACGAGCAAAGCAATACCAGTGCCCACCATTCATGACCAGGTGCCAGACGCTCTGAGCACTTTATTTGCATTTTTGGGCAGGGACTGGCATCCCTGTTGTCTGCACAGGAGGCGGAGGCTCAGTTGACCTGCAAGGCACACCCCACACTCCTGAGGGCCTGTAGGACCAGGAGTAACAGCAAAGGGCCCCTTTAGATATTTGGCTCCCATTTGTTGCCACTTTGGATGCAAGTTTCTTACTTGCTCGTTTCTGGCAGGTGCTGTGCTCCTGGCTCAGTAACAGCCCCAATTACGAGGAGATCACCAAGTGGTACCTGGGCTGGAAGTCCATGTTCTCAGACCAAGTGCTGGCGCACCCATCCATCAAGGACAAGTTCAACGAAGCGCTGGACATCATGAACAGGGCGGTGTCCTCCAACGTCGGTGAGTAGGGGTTCTGTGAGGGATGTCCTGGCCCTGGGCTCCATGTTTCTGCACATGTAAGAGAACAGAGTCTTCAGGTCCCTGGGGGCTGACTACAGTGTAACTCACCCTCCACTCCAGCAGACCCCGACTCAGCCACCAGCTCTCCTGCGACTGGGAGGGGTGCCTCTGTCTGAATGGAGACAGATTTAAGCAGATTCACACTGGGCCTACCTTCATACCCACTGTGCTGTGTGCCTTTTAAGGTTAATTCGTGCGCCTGCTCAGCCAGCGTTGGGTGTGCTACTTAAGTGTAAGCTCACAGCGTAGTCAGGGCTCAGTCTGACTCTTAGACCAGCGGTTGCCAATCTTTTGGACCTCGTGGACCACTGGTGGCAACCGCTGCCTAAGACCATATTCTTTACCTGTAAAACAGTAACAACACCTACCTTGTAGGTTTTACTAAAAACCTAGAGGGGTTGTTACTGGGAGTGGTGTAGACAGCACTCGCTAGGTGTCTGCTGTGCCAGAAGTGGGCAGCTGACTGTTCATTTAGTATCTACCCCCCTATTGCTCAGGTCTAGGTGAGCCCCTCTAGGGCAGTGTGGAGTGAAACTCCCAGGCAAGATGGGAACAGAATCTGCCCACTAGGAATTCGCCAGAAATCTCCAGCCCAATTCTTACGTGATCACAGCCAGGTGTGCAGGTGCTGGGCCATCTCTTAGTGTTTCATGTCTGAGGAACAGTAGGTTCACGGACATGGCCCATCGCAGCCTAGATTCTGTGCGTATCGGACGCCTCTCCTCACCCCCTGCCCTGTCTCCCAGGTGCCTACATGCAGCCCGGAGCACGAGAAAACATCGCCTACCTCACCCACACGGAGCGGAGGAAGGACTTCCAGTACGAGGCCATGCAGGAGCGGCGGGAGGCCGAGAACATGGCCCAGAGGGGCATCGGCGTGGCCGCCAGCTCCGTGCCCATGAACTTTAAGGACCTCATTGAGACCAAGGCCGAGGAGCACAACATCGTCTTCATGCCTGTCATCGGGAAGCGACACGAAGGGAAGCAGCTCTACACCTTCGGCCGCATCGTCATCTACATCGACCGGGGAGTGGTGTTCGTCCAGGGCGAGAAGACCTGGGTGCCCACCTCCCTGCAGAGCCTGATCGACATGGCCAAGTAGGCGGTGGCCGGGGCGGCTGCACACATTTCTGACTAAATCTTTTGAACCATCTTTGAAAGAGTCACTTCTCTATTCAGTAGGTTCTCCCCACCAGCCAGGTCCCCGAGGAAGGCTGTGGAGTGCGATAAGGGATGTGAGGGACACCAAGTCCTTCCACAGCACATCTCCTCTCCCCTCGAGAGCCAGGCTGAGGGCCTCCTGTTCTCTCCAGAACTGGCCCTGGGAGGACAGAGTCCCTGCAGCCCCCACATGGCCACCCCCGAATCCCGGCGGTGCAGTTGCCTCCGCCAGCAATTCCTACATCACAGCCCGTTGGGCCGGAAGCTGAGGCACCTGCCTGCTTCCTGATGATCTCGAGGTCCTCGCAGTCCCGGTAATCTGGCTCTTCCGGAGATGTCCACGTGTCCGTGGGGAGCTGCTTTAGCTTCTGGACTGGGAACCAGTGCACAGAGGTGTCATTAAACACGTCCGAGTACTGTGCCGTCTGGGGAAACGCCTGCTCCTCCAGTCCTTCTAAAACCTGAGCAGAAAATTCCAAGTCCAGCATGTACCTCGATAGGCACAGTGACCCCCACTCTGCCTTCCTTAGCCCCGCCAGCACGTGTAAGGGCAGACTCCCCAGTGGCGGACTCACACCCGTCCCCATCCCGCCCCTCAGTCAGACAGATACCTTTGCAACATAGGCATAGTTTTTCTGCAGAATCCTTGTCAACAACCTATAAATAAAAAGGTTTTTAAAGCAGGATTAGGAGGTACGAGAGTGGTTTTATCCAGTTGAAGGCATACGGCAAGGTGACTTAAATATGGTAAGAATGTAAAAACGGGTGTAGAGAAAGTATCCCGCAGGAAATGTGAACGTCCCAGTATCTGCACCCACTTCCTCAAGGGAGCAGGAGGAGGCGACGTAGAAACCCAGTGGCTCCTCCCATTAAACCTGCTGGCCTGAGGCAAGGGAGGGGCTCCCGGAAAAGCACTTCTTCCCCAAGTGGCTTCAGGTGCCTTGTTTTGCTTTGCTGGGGGTGGGGGGATGCGGGGGAGGTTCACTGAGTTCTTGGGTGGCTGTTGGATGGCAGTGCTGTGACTGCATAACAAAAATGAGCTACACGGCCGGGCAGGAGTGAGCGGAGCCAGACTCCGCTTGCTTCACAGCTTGACTCGGTGACAGCTTCTCTGGCCCTCCGTCCAGTTCCTTGGTCCTTTTCCGAGGACCAGCCATGGAAACGTGTTCTGCCTGCGGGTCACTCTGAGGACTGGGCCGCCCGGGGCCTGGCGGTCTCAGCTTACCTTTCCTCCAGGCCTCTGAAGCTGTTCCCGATGATGACCATCTTGGAAAGGGCATCAGCTGACCAGTTGCTCCACAGAAGGTTGTTGTACAGGGCCGTCCCGCAGTGCAGCATGTAGAAGACGGTGGGCTCGCCACGCACACTCCGCTTTCCTTCCTGGGTAAACACGCCCAGATGTAACCACTTCTCACGCGTGAGGGAGACGCCAGGACAGACTAACAAGCTGAGGGTCCTCCCCCCACACACAGAAACGTGTTCAGAGCCTCTGGCTCAACAACAGGGCCTCTTGGGCCCATGAGAGCAGGGGTGTGAGGGTGGCAACAGTGACTGTCCCCCATGCTGCCTGGTGGTCCCGTGTTTCCTGGGTCACTTTCTGCAGGTCCCTATCACAGCTGCGCCCTTTTCCAATGCCCCCTCTTGAGAACTATTGCTCCACAGGAAACACAAGGCCGGCCGCTTGCTGTCTGGCCCCTGCTACCTCTTCTGCAGGTCCCTATCACAGCTGCGCCCTTTTCCGATGCCCCCTCTTGAGAGCTATTGCTCCACAGCCAAACTCCTAGCAGGAAACACAAGGCCAGCAGCTTGCTGTCTGGCCCCTGCTACCTCTGGGCCTCCTCTCCACTCTCCTTCCAGCTTCCCTTCTGTTCCTAACGGGCAGCGGTTCCTGAACAGCCAGCTCTGCACAGGCTGCCTGCAGCCCTGGGCCTGTCCCCCAGCAAACGCCTGCCTGCAGCCCTGGGCCTGTCCCCCAGAAAACTCCTGCCTGCAGCCCTGGGCCTGTCCCCCAGAAAACTCCTGCCTGCAGCCCTAACCCTGTTCCCCCAGAAAACTGCCTGCCTGCAGCCCTAACCCTGTTCCCCCAGAAAACTGCCTGCCTGCAGCCCTAACCCTGTTCCCCCAGAAAACTGCCTGCCTGCAGCCCTAACCCTGTTCCCCCAGAAAACTGCCTGCCTGCAGCCCTAACCCTGTTCCCCCAGAAAACTGCCTGCCTGCAGCCCTAACCCTGTTCCCCCAGAAAACTGCCTGCCTGCAGCCCTAACCCTGTTCCCCCAGAAAACTGCCTGCCTGCAGCCCTAACCCTGTTCCCCCAGAAAACTGCCTGCCTGCAGCCCTAACCCTGTTCCCCCAGAAAACTGCCTGCCTGCAGCCCTAACCCTGTTCCCCCAGAAAACTGCCTGCCTGCAGCCCTAACCCTGTTCCCCCAGAAAACTGCCTGCCTGCAGCCCTAACCCTGTTCCCCCAGCAAACTCGTGGCTGACCCGCAAATCCCAGCTCAAGACCCAGGAAGCTCCCTCCATCCCCCAAAGAGAACGGTCTCCTTCCCATCTCAGTTCCTCGCTCGCGGGTCTGCCTTTCTGACTTCATTTACTTGTCTGCAGGCCGCATGCCTTGATGTGGCCGGGGCTCCCTGAAGACGGGGACTGGCTCCCATTTGCCGCGGCCTCCCAGAGCTCCTTGCCCAGCAGAGCAGGCACTCAGAAAAGCTGATCTGTATTAAGTGGCCGTGTTTTAGGAACTTGCCAACATCGGCAAACGAGTCCCTGTTTCAGCTGGGCCTCATTTTCATCGTAAGCAATGAAATGGCAGTTTCTCAAAACAGGAATCAAATGGTTATTTTATAATCCCCAAGACAATACAAAACGAAACTCAGAGGTACTCGCCTCGAGTGGGAAATTTCCTTTTTCCAGGCCTCAAGAACTTTCGAACCCCAACGATTTTAGGAGGTGCCGGGGGGACAGAAGCTTCATCCACAGCTCAGCCAGGTGCCGTGGGAATGGCTGACTACAGCTCCAAAGAGGGGAGCCATTCTGTCCCCTTTTATTGCCTCCCTGGGAATAGGGTCAAGTCCAACCAGAAAACCCACATTTGAGGCACTGAGATTGTGTGTCCTTTTAATATTTCAGTAACAGTAAATACCAATCTAGCATAATTTCTGGACACACACTCGTCGAAATTTTATGAACCTAACGTTCTAGTTTACGCCATTTGTGTAATTTACTTTTCTCTGATGGGCACAACAGTCAAAACGTGGGTAACTAGTCACACGCACAGGCACCGGGAAAGCAACGGAGAGGAGGGACTGCCGTTTCAAAACAAAACAAAAAAAATCGCAACCGCGGGTCAGAGCCTGGGGTCCGCGGGTCAGCAGTTCCCCTAGCTCCACGCTCCCCTTTCCAAAGCCACTCACCTCGTTCTCACCGAGGACAGTCACCCCCAGGGTGGTAAGAACTGCAATTTCCAGTTGGCTAAACAGAGGGTCATACACCCAGCAGTGACTTCTGGGAATCTGCAGGAGGGAAGGAGTTATTGCCACCACATGCCTGTGTGCACGCCGTGGGCAAGACCAGGAGAGGGGTGGTAAGAGGAGTCCAAAATGTACCTGGCACTTTTCCAGGAAGAGAAGCAAGAAGGCGAGCTGGCTTCTAGCGATGGCGCAGGTGGCGAAGCTCCCAATGCCGTAGCACACACACTTCCAGCCGCTGGTCCCCGGGACCGGGGTCTCTCCCGGGATGGAGCCCGGAGCCGCCCCCAAGTCACCTGGTGAGGAGTCTAGGTGCAGGCTTCCAATGGCTTCCGAGAGAGCCCCCACAGGGGCATCCAGCTGTTCCAGATGTTTCTTAAGACATGTGCTGATGGTTTCTGAGAGAGCAGGCCCCCACGTATAGTCAGAGTGACCCTGTGCACCCCTCAGCCACCAGAGCAGCCCACAGGCCAGGGAGCAGGGCAGCAGCAGCGTCTCCTCCTCAGAGAGGGGACCCCAGAGCCTGCAGCCCTGGGATGCTCTGTTCCCAGCATCCTGGGACGCGCCGCCGTGTCCCCCGGAGCTGACAGGCTGGCTGTCCGGGTCCCCGGCCCCCCGCAGCCCACACCTCAGAGAAGGGTTTGCAAAGAAATCGTTGGCATTTATGGACTCGATTTCTATCTAACATACTATGTAAACGCATTCTAGTTTAACAGGAGGTCCCTGGTAAACTCAGGTTATGCCTTGAAATTCCAGCTTTTTTTTTATTATAACAAAGAACGAGGAGCAGAGCTCTTAATATCACACTATACACGGCCGGAGTAAGAATATTTAATGTGTAAAAAAAGTGTGGTTCAGTGATTGGGTGTCAACCCATGAACCAAGAGGTCACTGGTTCGATTCCCAGCCAGGGACATGTTGGGGTTGCAGGCTCGATCCCCAGTAGGGGCTGTACTGGAGGCAGCCTATCGAGGATGTTTCTCTCTCATCGATGTTTCTATTTCTCGATCCCTCCCACTTCCTCTCTCTCTAAAGAGCAATAGAAACATATTTTTAAAAAAGGTAGGCTGGGGCTTCTGGAGTCTAACAAAAACTACTCTATTTTTTTTAAAATATATTTTATTGATTTTTTACAGAGAGGAGGGAGAGGGACAGAGAGTTAGAAACATCGATGAGAGAGAAACATCGATCAGCTGCCTTCTGCACAACCCCCACTGGGGATGTGCCCGCAACCAAGGTACATGCCCTTGACCGGAATCGACCCTGGGACCCTTCAGTCCGCAGGCCAAGCTAGCCATTCCCACAAGAAGGAAAGGTCGCATGAAAAACTGGCCCTTTCAGTCCTTGCTGTGAAAGAAGTGGGAAAAGCTTTTGGAAAACCGCCAGACAGTGATATCGAGTTGGTCACTGCCTTTCGCTGACTCATTTCCTTTCTGGGAATATATCCCAAGAACATCAACTGAAACTTGGTAAAAGCTCAATGCAGAAAGGTGCTCATTGCAAACTTATAATTAAAAAACAAAGGAAACAAAGCAAATGCCCCTCAATAAAAACGGTAACTACTGTACGACTACTGTTAGGTCCACTCCACGTATTATTTATGTTCCCACACATACTGTTTAGGAAGAGAGTATAACCGCGGGGGAGGGGGGGGCACACTGTAATCTCAAGGAAAAGGAGCAGGATAACCAATCTCAGAACAATGACAATCACAGCTCACAGTCCCTGTCTCCTGGGCAGCAGGCACGCACCATTCTAAGCACCTGGACAGCCTCACTTAAGAGGCGAAATTACCCTCCAGGACATGCCTATCATCTCCATTTCACAGGTGAAGAAACAGGGTCAGACTTAGTTAAGAGCCAAAACACGCAGCTGTGAGGCGGAAGTCAGAACCAGAACCCACATGTACACCACCCTTAAGCAAAATGTCATCCAATGAGGGTGGGATTCCTTTCTCTGCCCATATTCAGGCCCCTCCCACCCCCCCACCCCCCTCAGCCTTGGCAAGGTACTCACCCAGCGCTGAGCTCCAGAAGTCAGAAACGCGCAGGTCTTCCCTGTTGAGAAAAACGGCGAGGTCATCCCCATTCTCCTCAGGCGGCCCTGACAGTGACCCCCCTGTCCATAGCCTGGATGTGGGGAGCATGAAGGAGGCCCTCAGACGCAGAGCCCACCCTGAGTGACAGGAGGAGGAGACACGGTGAACATGGCAGAGCCAGAGCACGTACTGCTGGGGCTCAGAGGGCTTCCTGGAGGAGTCCCCACACTGGGCATCGAGCCCGCAACCGGGCATGTGCCCTGACTGGGAATCAAACCCGGGACCCTTCAGTCCGCAGGCTGACACTACCCACTGAGCCAAACCAGCTAGGGCATAAAGACATTTTCTTTATGTATTAACAACGTGCTTTTACAGAGTAGCATTAAATAAATGTTTGGGGAAAAGGAGAAGTCTCAAATAAACAACCTCACTTTACATCTCCAGAAACTAGAAATAGAAGGAAAAGCTAAGCCGAAGTTAGTAAAGGAAGGAAATAACAAAGATTAGAGCAGCGGTACTCAACCTGTGGGTCGCGACCCCTTTGGCGGTCGAACGACCCTTTCACAGGGGTCGCCTAAGACCATCCTGCATATCAGATATTTACATGACGATTCATAACAGTAGCAACATGACAGTTAGGAAGTAGCAACGAAAATAATTTTATGGTTGGGTCACAACATGAGGAACTGTATTTAAAGGGCCAGAAGGTTGAGAAGCACTGGATGAGAGCCTAAGTAAATGAAATACACCCAGAGATATTAAAACACACCACCGAAACACAAAGCATCAAAGAGGCTACTGCTAACAATTATATGCCAACGAACTGAACCAACTATAAGAAATGAACAAATCTGTAAAGCATACAACCTTCCTAAACTGAATCATGAAAAACTGGAAAACCTGAACTAACTGATCCCTCGTAAGGAACTTGAAACAGAATTCAAACACCTGGCAACAAACAAAATTCCAGGATCAGCTGGCTTCGCTGGTGAAGTCTATCGAACATGCAAAGAAGATTGAATACCTCTTCTCCTCAAACTTTTCCCAAAACACTGAAGAGGGAGTGCTTCCTAACTTATTTTGTGAGGCCAGCATTACCCTGATACTAGAACCAGGCAAGGTCAACACACACACACACACACACAATTTCAGGCCAATATCTTTAAAGAACATACTGTATATGCAAAAATCCTAAATAAAATACTAGTAAACCAAGTACAACAATACATCAGATGGGTCATACACCATGTCCAAGTGGAATTCATTCCAGGGATGCAATGATGGTTCAACATCCAAAAATCAATGGACCTGATACACCACATTAATAAGACATAAATAAATCACATGACAATCTCTATAAGTGCAGAAAAAAACATCTGACAGGATACAACATGAATGATGATTGAAAACTCAATAAAAATGGCTATGGAAGGAAAGCATCTTAACATAATCCGGCTACATATGACAACCCCCCACCTAGCATCATACTCAATAAAGAAAAACTCAAAGCTTTTCCTCGTGATCCTAATTCTGGGGGAGGGGAGCAGGTGAAATGAGCCTAATTTCTTTCAGTTGTGATGATCCTGCAGCTGTTATTGAAGGCAATGCTAACGGAAGCTGTTATTTACTGAGCCCGTAAAGGACCACAAACAAAAAAGGCAAAAATACAAAAGAACAGAAGCAGGCGATGTTTACGGGGTGTTCCCTCCACTGGGCACTATCCTAAGTGCGACCTGAGGTAGAGAGCGAGGCGTGGGGTGGGAATGGGGGAAACCAGAACAGTGGGGCGCTCTGAGGCACAGGGTTTGGAGTCGCAACGCCGTGGGGTTGCAATTTGGTTCCACACATTACCTATGTCTCGGTAAGACCAGCCGCCCCCAGGATCCCGGTGGCTGAGATGTTCAAATTGATAAAATGCTTAACCGACTGCCAGGCACAAAGCAGCTCAATCACCTGATGATGATCATCATGAAAACCACAATCATGTGCTCCTGTTGCTTCCCAGGCATTAGCAACACCAACAATAGCCAACAATAGCCACCAATAGCCAACAATAACCACCAATAACCACCAATAACCACCAATAGCCACCAATAGCCAACAATAACCAACAATAACCAACAATAGCCAACAATAGCCAACAATAACCAACAATAACCAACAATAGCCAACAATAGCCAACAATAACCAACAATAACCAACATCGGCGTAACAGTGACACCACAAACACTGGTGCTGCGTTCACCACGCCGAGTGTGGAGGCACCGTTCCAAACGGCTTCCATTTACTAACCCACCCAACCCTCAAAACAAGCCTCTAGAGCTGTGGTTCTCAACCTTCCTAACGCCGCGGCCCTTTAATACAGTTCCTCCTGTTGTGGTGACCCCCAACCATAAAATCATTTTCGCTGCTACTTCATCACTGTCATTTTGCTACTGTTGTGAATCGTCATGTAAATATCTGATATGCAGGATGTATTTTCAGTTACAAATTGAACATCATTAAAGCATGGTGATGAATCACAAAAACAATATGTCATTATAGATGTGTTTTCCGATGGTCTTAGGCGACCCCTGTGAAAGGAAAGTTCGACCCCCAAAGGGGTCGCGACCCACAGGTTGAGAACCGCCGCTCTAGAGGTAACTAACTCTTCACGCCCACCTCCCAGATGAGCAAACGGAGGCACAGACGTGACATAGCCGCCCAGGGTGACCCGCGGTGACTGCCATACCAGCGCTCACTGCGATCCGGCCCGCGAGGAGCTCTTGGCCTCCGCTAAACCCTCACAAACAGCCTCCTCAAGGGCTGCACTTCCTCCCCTTGACACCTGGCGAGACGCGGCTCGGCGCGATTCCCACCGGCGCGAACGTTCAGACCGCCACTCACCTGGCCTCCCGGACGCGGCGAAGCACGACTCCGTCGTCCAC